AAACTGATGTTTTTTGAAAGAATAATACAATTGAATAACAATTTTTACCCCTCAAAAAGGAGAAGGCATTACTTTCATAATGAAAAAGTACAGAATTCTCAATTGTCAATTCTATTTTTAGGAAAAAGACAAGATATTACTTCATCACTGCATATTATAAAATGCTGCCGTCACACTTAATGCTGATAATAAATTTAATAATAAATATATTTAGAAAAGTTGTTATTTTGGCTAAAATTTACTGATAGTTACTATATATGCAAGGCAACAGTCATGTCAGTACCCTTGTACCAGAGGTTTCTCTCTGCTTCTCAGCTCAGTGGTACTGCTTCACAGTGAAAGAGACAAAAAACATTATAGACCTATAGTACAATTTGTTATTACTAATATATGAACTTGGATTAAAAGTTTACTAAGGATCTAGACAAAATTTCATTTTTCATCTGTAGTCTTAGCTGTCCCATATCACTCTGAATATTAAAATAAATATGATTTAGTAATGATATCATGCATATAAGGGAAATTTCTTACTATATACCTGATTGAAAGATGGATATTTGCATCTGCTCAGGGATTCAATATACTGAAAAAGTAAAAGAATATATACATTAATTTATTTTTCAATAGCATTCTTGTGCTTTCAATTTAGTATCATTGTCATCAYTGGCTTACCATACACATGAACACTCCACAATCATAGTCATTGTCTTGATGTGGTATATTCTGCATCAAAAAGAAATATAAATAAAATTTGATATATACATAGGTCATCTTTAATTTTCTTCTTGTGCATATTCATAAAACATTCTAAGACTTTCCAGTARGTTTTTCTAGCACAAAAAAAATTGATTTTTAAACACTGATTCCTAAATATGTGTCTTAGGGATATTTTTTAAATCAGTGAAACGCTCAAGTATTGATAAACTGTAACAGATTCATTAAGGAGTATTCCAGGATTTTGGGAGTAACATGAACCCAGTTCTAATAGACTGTAGGATAAATATTATTTAGTAAAGAGCTACTGTACTATGCCCACCTTTGGAGTTTCATCAACCCATAAGTCAAGGTCAAGTTGTTTATTTCTTCTTTTTGCCTCACATTTCAGAAATGATCTGTAATGCAGATGTGTCATATTTGCATGAAATGGCAACCATTTTCTTTTTCAATGGCAATCATTTTAATACCTGATATTCTTATGAAATGATTCATCTTGTTCATGAAGCGAATCCCAGTATGCAATTGACCTCTTTCTGAAATCCACTACCTAAAGTCACATTAACTCATTATATGTATTGTTTATTGGTTACCATGRCGGCACTACATGTAAGGTCATTTTTTATTTGCTTACCCCAAGCGTCCAATGTGAAGGKAGGTGAATTGGTATAAATAATTTGTCATTATCAAGCAAATYTTTAACCTATGAAGTCACAGTAATCAGTGAGAATGTAGCCTCTTTCACGCCCATTTTTGTTTTGGGATCACTCAKGAGTTTGGTAAGAGTAACAATTTCAATATAGGGCATGATATTAATGTACATGAATGATAAGAAGACACGAGTTCGTACTTTAGTTGTCCATTTTGCGAGAGATTCTGGACCATTCTTGACGAGTTTGGTATAATGGTATGTACTCAATGTATAAGTCTTTGATATTCCATTTTTCTGCAAGGTTTCAAATGAAAAAAAAAAAACACAATGAATTAGCTTTTAATCAATGTATCAAATTAGAAAAGTAAGCTATACCTGGGCGTTTTTGCTTCTTGCATTTATAAGTTGTGTGTAGAAGTTGATAACCTTCAAGGCAAATATTGATCTTTTGTAAGCAAATATAATATGAAATTGCAAAATGACGTAATGTTTGCTACAATAAAAACCGAATTAACTCAGTAAAAAAGGGACTGT